AGTTTGAACCTTTGTATATGTTAGACCATTTCATTGAATTATTTTCATTCATTTTATTCTATTTAAATAGTTTTGATTGAACTAGAGAAATACTCTGCTCAAGAAAATTCTGAGAGGTCTTTAGAGATACATTTCCTCTGCACAAAATATGTACAATGCAAATAAGGGTAAATACTCAGAAGAGTCTCATGAATATTTTTAAAAGAGCTTTTTTAACAATTAATGGCATTATAATTTGAGAATTTGAAAGCTGCAATGTGTGGAAGAGAAACGGTATGGTAGAAAATAGGTTTGACTTAAACTGTTTCACAGTGAGGAAAGCGGCATCATAATATTTGCAGGCAAAGCATTCTTTGATTTTTGTTTTCTTTTGCTTTTTCCAATATGACAATCTGTAGATCCCCAAACTAGGGGTCATATATTGCACACACGATAACCTTTTTTATTTATAATGTTCAGTCTCTGTATAAATCATTACTTCCCTCCAATTCATATCAGATATTCTACATGCATGTAAACAACAAGTTTTTTTTTCTTTATCTTGCAAGGGATTTAGGTTAGAGTACATGCAGTAAGTACAAGCTAAAGCAATACCGAACATATGAGAAAAAATAGGGGAAATGCAGCTAAAACAATTTCAGCTTCTAGATGAAGAAAGAGACTGTTAGGATTGTTGGAAATTACTGTCATAAGCAGTGTCCTCTGCATGGTTTTGGGAACACATTAGTATATCCTAATGTCATATCAGGTCTGTATTTATTGGCTTAATAGTTTCCAAAATGCTGTCTAACCCAAATTGATACATTCTCAGTAATGTATCACCTCCAATAAAATTTACTTGCAATATACCGTGACATATATGACTATTAGGTGCACTATAATTTTCTCGGTGATTCTTTATGAAATACAATTAAAGTTTAAATATACTCAGGTTTCCTTTTTTTTTTTTTTTTCTGGAGAAGTGTAAAAGAACTGTGTTTGTTCTCTCATGAACCCAAGTATTTCTTTAAATTTTGGAGGGCTGAAAGCTTCAAATGTAGAATAATAACACAACAAAACTGAAAGCAGCCTTTTTAGATGTTTTCCTTTTCCCATTCTGTCATATTTTGGTTTCCATCTTGATAAAGGGTAAGCAACAGTCAGAAATTTCCATTTTGACTGTGAATCTAAAAGTCATAGGGTGTTTAATTCAGAGATTTAGTTTCACTGTTTTTAGACTTAAGTCAGAGGCAAAGTACAGATCGGAATTCAAATCCAAATGTCTCGAAAATGCAGAGTATCCAAATCCAGTGTTTTCATGCAGATGTGTTTTTGGTGTACAGTTCTGACCAGGACTTAAATAGTATCACTGGAACTGTGAGCATGGTAATATAAAAATATAAAAACCTGTTAATCTAGCTGTGGATTTTCTAAATCGATTACTCATTTCGCCACCATTTTTAACATTATTTTCTAATTAATATAATGAGACCTAAAAGAATTTTTATTGCAGGTCAAGAACACTGAGCAAAGCTGGACTACAATTATGTTACCCTTGAAGACAGTAACCTGGAAGAAGAACGGTAGTATGTATGCATAAATTATTTCTACATTAGTTAAACTCTACTTGATCTGTGGATCAGGGATTCTCATGTTTTGACCTATCAGCCACTACAATCTAAGGTCTTCCTATGAGATGCAAATGCCCATGTGTTGTCTTCTGTTTCCTACCACTGACATACATCCAAAAGAGCAAATGTGCATGAAATACTTAGCCTTCTCCTGTAAACAAATGCTGTATTGCCAAAGGCATGTGTAAGTTTCTGTTCAACAGCATGAAAGAGTAGTTCATGCCATTAAACTCTTTGAAACTGTGATTTATTCAAATATGCGGTTTACTTAAATGCTAGGAAAACAGAGAAAAAACAATAGTGATAAATAATTGTGATCTTAGTGTTTAAAATAATAAAATAATCTGTCACAAATGCTGAACCATATTTCATGGCACATAGTGTAGAGACCAAATAGCTAAACCTCAGTTTTGTTCTGTTAATGAGATTAATTTTAGAGCATCTAAGTATAAAATAAAGCCAGCAGAAGTTATAAATTGTTAGTAAACTCTAACTTATAAAAAAAATAGTTACTCATTTCATGCCTGAATGACTATAATCCCTTGCTTATACTAAGATATTGATCAGACAAATTTTGTATAAAAATACATGGGATTTTGGGATGCAAGAAGAGAAAAGCAAATGCTGGTTTCATAATTTTGTGCATTTATTTTTCACAACTGGTCAGAACACTGATTTGCAAACTAAGCAGATGCCTCAGGCCCTACAGTTTTAGCATCCCCTATTTGTAAGAGTACCTTACATGATTAACCACCTTGGGTCTCAAGCCATTTGCATCTGCAAGAATTGAAGTTTAGCAAATTTGGTATTCCTTGTGCTTGCTAAGGTTTGGGAGATCTCTGGGATGTATTAGCCTCCTGCACTCTGAGCCACAATACCCATCAGAGACTCTGAGAACTGGATTCTTGCAGTTAAGCTTACAGTGAGTGTTATCATCATACAAATAACAGAACAAACCTCTGAATTCAATAGCACTGCTTTAATATTTTACTAAACATATACATTTAGTGAAGGTATCCTTGAGTTTCCTTTAATTAGTAAGCCACTGCTCACAAGGAAAGACTAATTCCTGAGTATAGTATTGGTTTTGTGCGAACCAGTACAGGAGAAATACAGCCAGTCATATGGAAGTCCATCCTAGATTCCCTGTGGGTATCACATCATACCAAACTATCCCTGCATATATATGGGGGATATATATTCAGCTTGTAATGAATATGAGTTAATTTTGTTGTGCTACTGGTTTCTGAAATCACAGAGGTGTTGAAACCTTGGAAGTTTCATTTTTCAGGAATTTGTGCTGAAATTTTCCATCTTTAAGTGCTTGGTTTGCTGGTTTGCAACACTTGGCTTTGCTTTATAATGTTAGACTTGAAACAGACTTCTTGTCGGCCCCAGTTGAAATCACATGAAATCATAATTTTGCATTATGGGATTCTGAGACTCAATCAGGGAAAAGCAAATGCTCATTTCCTAATTTTTTGCATTTATATTTCACAACTGGAC